TGGGTGGGGGGTGTTTTGTAGCACATTTTACTATAATCAACAGTTTGGTGCCCAGATTATCAAGTGTTTCTCTGAATGACCAAAAGTTAAACAAATTTACATTATTATGTGCATAATATGTATGTGATAAAACAACGTTTATATAAACTAATTTATTCTTCAGCTTTAAAAATCGAGTTTCGATAACCGAGGTAGGCAGCATAAAAGTCCCCCGGTGAGACAGTGGTAAGCCTAAAGATTAACAACGCTAAAATCAGGGATTCGATTCTCCTCGGTAGACACAGCAGATAGCCCGATGTGGTTTTGCTAACAAAAAAAAAAAAAAAAAAAAAAAACACAGTCGCGCGCACCTTGGAATTAATCATAAAGTGCCATCTGTAGGTTTCTATCTAAAGTAAAGATAATGTCACTGGACAAAATCCTGATTATAATTAAAATTATAATTAATACATGCATGTGTGCATATGTTTGTGTGTATGTGTGTAATTACACATACATTGTTCGGCAAGAACTTTCAATCTTCTTGAAAATCAATGCGTACATAAATATTAAATAATCTTTAATGGGATAGACAGCGTTACAAATATATACATAAAACAAGTGGCATAAGCACAGGCAGAATTATATATTACTTTATGTACTTTAATCAAGTTTTTTTTTGTATAGATCATAAAATATTACAAAGTTTTCCTTTAAAAATGAAGAACAGTACAAGTTAGCATACTTTTTATTCATCTCTATTTCTAAACCATTTGTTGATTTATCTTATCCAACTAATTTCTGCAATTAGTACACATTGTGTTTTGTTTATTTGGAGTTCGCAATATTTTTAGTATTTATTTAAGTATTCTATGCCGTGAATTGAACAAACTGCTGTAAATTATATTTTTAATGTTGTGATTTGTTTGTTTGCTGGAGAGGAGTACTGATGATGACGTTGAAAAGTTTGATAATGTAGGCCTAGAACACCTAGTAAGTTCTAATACAAAGAATTGACGTCAATGTTTCTAGTAAATTCAAAGGTGAATTATAAATACAGGGCTCAGTGAAGCATCGAGAAGATAGTTAAAAAATACTGAGTTACTTTTATAAAGTACTTTTATTTTTATATTAACGTAGCGCAATTAGCGTTATTTGTAAGCATGGATTACAAGCCTATTAATTCCACGGTATTCAAGCTTGTAAAACATTAAGGAAGAAATAAACGACTTTGTTATCGTTACATAGACTTTACTTTGAATTATTTTCAACGTATTGTTTAAAAGAACCCGCCAACGAAAGAATGACGTTACACCAATACAGATAAATCGTGCTGGATATTTGTTGTTTTGTTGCCAATATACTAAAGCTATTTACCTGCCTGTCCCTAATTTTGAATTGCTAACGGCAGGGAAAGTAGCCGGCTGGCAGCACCAAAACACCAACTCTTAGGCTACTCATTATCGTAAGACTAAAAGAGCAAGCATATTCGGCGCTGGGTTTAAATCCTACGACCCAAAAGTTGCGAATCGAGCGCCTTAACCACAAGGCCAGGCCCTAACCGTGTTAGTGGAATAAGCTCAAAAACAATTTGTAAAGCAAATTCTGAAACAAGCATACAAAATCGAAAGTTATATGCAATAATACTGTTAATGTGTTTATGGCCTTAAAATTTTAGAAGCATGCACCTTATGCATTGCTTGATATATAACTTTAATTTCCATAATCTATCCGTAATAGGCAGAGCACAGTTAGCCCATTCCGTAGCTTCGTGCTTAACAACAACCAAATCAAACCATGATTTATTATTATTAGCATATAAACTCCTATTTTTATACTGCGTTATAAATAATACCTCTGTTATTAATACTCTTGATTAATTGTGTTTTCCTTTTTTTTTAGATAAACATTGGCTAACGTATTGAAGGTTTTCAGCACAGCTTTGGTCAGCAAACCCAAGAAACCTAGTAAGGCCTCTTAGGTTATGGGTATGTATGTAATATTTACAGAACTTTTAAATTCTTAAATAGGCGAAACTGCAATACACATAGGGTAAAGCGAAATAAAGAATATATTAAACCTGTTCGTCACGGATTATGCTCTCTGTTTCTCTTCGTCGAAAATAAAATAAATTTGTGATGTCATAATTAAATAGTTTATCTATTGCATAATACTGAATAATAAAGTTTGGTGGAATGCCAGATATTATTCAAACACCTAAATTGACTTAGGGTAAAACATGGTGAGTTTCAAAGCCTTAAACATCCCACGAATATTGGCTAAGTCCAATTTAGGTGTTGCTTTCAAGACTAAAATAAAATATTATTTTGTTTGTTTGGTTGGTTTTTGTTTACTTGTATTTCAATTTCACGCAAAGCTAGATAACGGCTTCGCTGATAGACTAGAAGGAAGGCAGCTAGTCAACTGCACTCACCTACTTTTGTCTGACCGAATAGTGTGATATGACAGTCACACTTATAGCGCACCCAAAGCCTCAAAGTATGGAGCGCATTATTGCGACAAAGTGACGAGAGCCGACGGCTAATAACGTTAAAAATTTGGTTTCTATACTCGAGGTGTGTACAGCACAGATAACTCATTATTCGGCTTTGTGTTTAATAACAAATAATTATAGAAATTTTGTATAGCTAATTGTTTATTTTATTTAGATTAACATTCCTGAAATTTCGTAAATAAACAAATATCAGAGAGTAACCATGATGTCACAATACGTAAACCCAACTTGGGCTACTCCGTTCGAATGGTGGATTTTGACGCGACGTTTTATTTAGCTATCTATTTTTGGAGGTAAATGGGCTCCATCCACAGTACCTAAGATCCACAGTCTAGCCCAACAAAGCTCTAATTTATCTAATAATTATATAAATAAATTCATAAATCAAACTTATTTTTTAATACTGTTATTATTTTACAAACTGAGTGGTTTGTGTGGCAAGATAGTAACATAATATAATGTGCACAGTTTGATTTATCTCTTGTGTATCAGATTTGTCAGTTATTTCAATTTAGGGTTAAATCTGGGTGTCTTACATACATTATTTTCTCATTTTCTTTATTTTAAGTCACGAGCGCAAGAATAAGATAGATATTATTCATTTGAGGCATTATAGGATATAGTTTTGAAATTATCCCTTGCAATTTTAAGTGTTTTTGAGAGTTGTGTTCGCTACATAGGTAAGCGTCAAATACTAAAAAATGGGAGGTAGGGGGTCGTTGAATATGTCCGTAACCATTTAATCACTTGCTCCCAAGGCTTTAAAGCATCAAAATTAGCGATGCCTCGAAACTCTGTATCACAAAATTAATACACCACACTCATGATTACTTTTTAAAATATTACCTGTGTTTCGTACACAGCTGATGATGTAGCTTATTGGTTAATGTGTCGAACTGTGAATCCAAAGGTATTTTGCTTTTCTAATTACACTATAGAGCATAGAAGATACAGAGATTAGTTGATTTAAGTCTTTAAAATTCGTAGGACTGAAAATAATTTGCCTGTAGATGTTTCGAGATGGATGACTTATCGTATTCTAATTAGTGTGTATCTTAGTTGTTTGATGTGTGCATCTATAATATTAAGTACTTCCAGTCAGTTTTTATATAGAATTGGCTTCACTAACTTATAAGATGCTGGTTTGTTTTGTGAGGGTGAGGGGGTGGGGGTCCTGATCTATATAGTTTATTTACATTTGATTAAAAGGCCTTAATAAGTGAGTATAATACAGGCAATAAGTACGAACTTTTAACTCCTGCTTCAGGATTATGTTTCACTGGTACTGCATCTCTAGTTTAATTATAAACTTATGCGTTGGCTTGACAGACAATATGGTATGTGTTTCTAATTTAAATTCGTTTAAGCTTTGCTGTTTTGGCTCATTGATACAAAATACTACTGTTTTGGTGAGGATAGGTATGACCGTATGATAATGATGGGCTGAATAATCATCTGCCACTGGCTTGTTCTAATGTACCTTTTATTTCACTCTTTCCGTTGTTTTAATTCCTCAATCTATTTTATCCTCTTCCGTTTCTAACAAATCTTACCTTTCTAAACATCTAAATCTTTTCAAATAATTGGCTTTTTAAACTATATTTGTTAAGTTGAAGTAAACCCTTCTCTGATCGTTATTTCTTCTATTGTCATTTCAGCTACTCTAAGTATGCAATATCTAACTTAAAATCTGTAGTCATCCTCTTTTATTTATGCTTATTTTTATAAAGGTATATTCAATACTGTGTCTTAAACTTCAATTTCAAACTATCTCTAAGGAACTCGTATAACTCTAATAATCGCTGCTCTTTCCTTCTACTATAATTCAAAGCTAACCAGCCGCCAGAGGCGCTGTGGAAAATTTGTTAATTTCTGTTGCAGAAATCTACACTATGGGCTATCTGGGCTGTGCCTACCGCGAGTGTTGATGCCCGATTTTTATAGTTATTAACCATCACACTTACGGCAGAGCTTTTGGGAAGTTGAAAAGTTACGTAAACGAATAGAAATAGCGATCTTAGTCTTTAATATATACTTGAACATTAAATTAGAAACAATAAATGACAAACACCTTATTTAACTAAAATGTGGCCATTTGGTGTATGTTGTTCGAACTAGGAAAAAGAAAAAAAATGTTTTACAGTATGTACATATATATAACATAATAATAATAATTATATATATATATAATATAGACGGCGCTAAGCGTACAATTTAGGCTGAAAATGGCGGCGGTATGTAATGTGTTCGATTTTTAGTTACTAAAATTTGTTGTTTATTGTATCATTTCTTAGTCATAGTTCTTGTATGCGGTCAACTCTAACTTATTTTAACTAAAGCCACAATTATAGTATCATATTGTTATTTTTTAAGTAAACAAATATAGAATTGTAAAACTTTGGAACATTAATGCTGTTAACGTTTGTATTTATGTCGTAAGCCTGCACTTGGTAACACTAACACATTGCCTTGCTTTTAGGCTTAGTGAAGCATTGAATTTTTGAAAATCCAGAGTTATCTGATGTGTACTAGTACTAAGAGTAGTGTAAGTAGTCCTAACATTTTTCGCTTAAGACGGCACATTTCAACTTCAATTTAAAATATATTTTCATTCTTTTTTGTAATTTATTCACATGCAGAAATATGTAATTTTAATTGTGGTTTGTTAAATAATGTAAACCAACTTTTTAAAGTTCCTTATGAAAAATCTAATTAGACAGAAAAAACATAAGAAAATATATGGCATGCTCTATTATGATGTCAAATGTGTAAAATTTAAAGTCATATGTATTTGCCCTGCAGTTGGCTACCATATAATTTGACTATTCACCTAGTGGCCATGTATCAATTAAAAGTTTGGCTGTTGCAGGGAAAATTCAAGAATTTCGTTGAGGAACAATGTTATCTTACTAAATTAGGGTTAAATATATAAAATAGGTTATTTTTGAGTTGGCTTAGTTCTACCATTGATAAAAATTCATGCACAGCTCAAGTCTAATAAACAATTTTTCACAGGCTATGAAATAATAAAAAGAGAAAAAATACACCCCTATCTTTACAAACTAGAAAATATGAATGAAATTTATCAAATGAATTACTTTAGATCAACCTTATTTTGCAATTTAAATTGCTTGAGAGATTAAGAATCCTGTGCTCTACAGAATTTGGTAATGATATATTAATTTAAAAAGTAAAGAATAATTAAATTCTTCATACTTTCTGGATACTAGAAATTAGCTTATGATCAATGTTGATGCCAGTGTGGAAACTCATTTTTACTAATTTAACACTGATCCAGTAACTTGTGAACCAAACTTGCATGCAAGAGCCCTCAAATTCCCAGATCAGTTCTGCAACAGTTTTTCAGTCAACATCAAACTTTATAATACTACATATGCAACCTGAAAACACTTGTTTGAACTGGCTAATGACACAACTGCCATTAGCGTCATTGGTTGACCAATTAATATTCCCTTTCTAGATCTACCAATTAAAGTTGAATTGCTTTTTAAAATGGTTGTATTCAACACTTAAACACAGCTACCAGGTGTTCTGTAGTTGCTACATTGCTGCTGTACTGGTGGTTGTAACCTCGGCAGTGTGGAGACTAGCACCTTGTTAGAGTTTAAGAAGTAAAGATTTTCTGAAAAATAAATTTAATCAAGAGTTTAATTTTTACTTTTTTTTAAAAGTAGGTATGCAGAGACAGCTTTGAAAGGCCAAATAAATGGTCCCTTCTCCATATCTTATCATCTACTTGTTTTAAACTATTATTTCCACCAAGTAGCTTCACCAACCTACTGTTTTCTTTGCATTCAGTATTGGTTTTTATCAGCATTTTATCCTCATTACTATCTAATAGTTGTTTAAGGTCATCATGCAAAACCAAATGTAATTTAATGGTAATGCTTATTAATAGCCAAAATAAGATTACAAGCATAAATAATTAAAAGTTTTGGAATCTATACTTATTTCCCTTAGTATTCTTTATATTTAATTTACTGATTATTGTATGAATAGGCTATGAATAGTTAATAAGAATATAAGCATTTATAATATTCATAGTATATTTGATTAAGTTTTCCAATTATGTTATATTTACAGACTTGCAGATTGTCTTCTTTTAGATGTGTACATAGTTCAATGTTCGAAACTTAATATAGGTCAGTTTATTAGACGAAACTTCTTGGAGTGTTATTGATGTACAGCTGAGAGCACATTAATAGTGAGGATATCCAGCTGATGCTCAAATGCAGTTTATTAACTATAAATGTACACATTTCTTTTTAATGAACTTAATTAGGTTCAGACTTCTCATAGGACAGTGTTTCTTAGTTACATGTATTATTTAATTTTACACCGTAATTTACACCTAGGCCTAATGGTAAGCTTAATGTTAGAACTAACTAAACACGCATAGACTATTTTTAAATCTTATGTAAATATTAACATGTAATGCACACCTTGGGGTGGCAAAATTTCATGATATATTGTCGATTTATGCAGAATCTGAATACAGAAATAGGGCATATAGTACTAAAATAGAACAGTGAAAAATATTTTCAAGGATGTTTTTGTTTTGTTTTTTTAGGCAGAAATACTCGAAATTTTATGATTGTTTGAAAATTGCAATTTCGGCTACATTTTCTGGAAAAGTACACCCTTTTCCAGGCCATTTTTTTCTCTTTATTTTCTTGTTCATTTGCTTTTTCCTTCTTTCTTTCTTTTATGAAATGCATGCAAGTAAATGACAATTCTTTTACATTTTGTTGTTTTTTGGGATGACCTTCAAACAAGTACAGAATTCATAATGAAACACCTCCTTGGGCTCTTCCTTCAGCTGTTGCCTTTCCTTCTTTTTCTGTTTGATTTAGCTGATCTTGCATTTATTTTCTTCTCATCAGGGTACTCCTCAATAGGATTTGCCTCTTTTTTCATCTCATATCTTTTCAGGGTCACTGTATAGTATGCCTTTGGTACAACGTTTTAATTTGCATCAAGAATATCATTGATGATATTTGATATTTTCTTCTCATCAGGGTACTCCTCGATAGGATTTGCCTCTTTTTTCATCTCATATCTTTTCAGGGTCACTGTATAGTATGCCTTTGGTACAACGTTTTAATTTGCATCAAGAATATCATTGATGATATTTGAAAGCTAACCTAGAAAATGTATACAAGTTGAAAGTTGGCCATTTGCTGCTGGTTTTTCTTTTGCAATGAAGGTGCTGTTTGCAGAAAGAATCTTACTGTCAAATGGTAGATCCAATGCAGAGGGATATTTCATTTTCAACTTATCAAGCATGTGATCTAGGACCCTTTTTTTTTCTTTTTTCATTTACATCATACATTTGCTTCATATCATTTATATAATGATGAATATACTTTTCTCCATAAGTTTTTTCTTGAGCAGGTCTTATTGCCCAACCTTTCTGAAAATATTCGTAAAGTTTTTTCAGGTTCAAGAACAAGATTACCTAAATTACCATCATCGATACATTGAATAAATTCAACAGATCCTCCATCCAGTAGAATTTCAGTAGGTTCAGGAAGACCCTGGATTTAGCTGTGTTACTCTATGAGAGAATCAATGCAAAAAAGTTTCGCCAATTATCTATTTTTCTGGCTTAAATAGTTCTGTGGGACTGAGAAAAAATTTATACCCTGGATGTATGCATTACGTGTTAAAATTGATTAGACATAATTTTATTTCATTAATTAGACTTAGTTTTACACTTTTTTTTTTAGTCTGTATTTATGTTTTGTGTATGTATGTGTGTGTGTGTATCCAAAAATATTAAATAAATCAAATCAGCACCACTTCATTAGGTAAATAATTTCATTTTTGGTGATTCAGGCAGAGAAATAATTTTAGATTCTGAGATCTGTTACACAATTTTTGAGCTAGGAGTAGAAAAATTGTTATTAATTTGTACAGAATTTAGATAAAGCATCATTTGAAGTATTATATTCAGTTCTAGTCATTTTAGGATACCAAACATAGTGTAGATAAACTGTTTGTTGGACTGGTGAAAACACAAGGAAAGAGATGAAATCCTGATTATTAGAGAGATTAAAGTTATGGAAGCCCAGGTCCAATTATTTGGCCATATTTTTTCCCTGTTAGAATTATTAGCTTGTGAAATGGCTTGCCACATGAATTGGGGTGTGCTTGTGGTTTGCATTCCTTTAATTTTTGTTAGATAGTTTTAGGGGTGTGAAGGAATGTTAAAACTGGGTGATACAGTAGGCCAAAAATATCACTAACAGTGAGGATAACCCAATTGGTGAAACAATGCCTTTGAGTCATTAGAAGCAACATAACTTGAATATATTTAAGTAGCTATGCTTATTACTAGGTATATATATATTTTTAGTTCAGGTCTATAAAGATAGGTTACTTTGATCAAAAGTTAATATTGAATAATATGCTCTTATCAAACGTTTCAGTTCAGAAATAAAAATTTTCTTCCAACAGGGTTCAAGTCGCTAGCAATTCCGAAAAAGTACTAACTCCACTCATCCAAAGTAATCTTTGGGTGGTGTTTCTCATCAACTTAGAGAAGTCCTTTACTAACCCCATGTAGTATCTTATTCATTTGGGGGTTCTATTCAATTCTCATCTCGTCAGGCCCAGCCTTTTCCTCTTCGACTCTGGGATGTGGGGATGTGGGCTTCCTTGGAAACTCTCATCCCTTGAGTCAGGCATACATGTATTCCTTTCATTTGATGCTTTTTGACCAGTGGAACTTCTCCCACAATCCCTTGGACCATCCCATCACCTTCCACCTGGGACCAGGGCTGATCTTGCTTGGTGGCTCAACAGGGACTTGACCACAGTGTGGGTTCCCATTCCTCCATCTCTTCCCAAGTCTCATTTGTTCACAGATGCTTCCTTCATTTGTTGGGGGGGCTTTTCTCGATTCTCAAGAGATTTTTGATTGGTGGTTAGTTGAAGAGGTTACTCTCCATATTCACATCATGGAACCTTTTACAGTTCATCAAGCTCTGTATCCTTTCCTCCTGCTCCTGCAGGGCAGGTGGTTATGGTTCATTTTGACTGTCTTCAGCTATATCACCAAAGAAGGGGGAACCAAGTCCAGATCTCTCTGTTTTCAGACTCTGGATCTCCTGTACTAGGTCAACGACCAGGACATAACAGTTCTAGCTTGACATGCTCCCAGAATTATGAATCTTGTAACCAATTGCTTATCATGTCCCAGCCAGGTTCTTTCAACAGAGTGGTCACGTCATCTTCATGTATTACTGTGGATGTGTTATCAACTGGGAACTCTGCATATGTGTGCATTTACCACTCATTGGAATGCCAAACTTCCTTCATTTTGGCCTCCAGTTCCTCACTCATCAGCTCTGGGGGGTGGATGCTTTCAGTCAAGATTAGAGGGGTCTTCACTTATATGCCTACCTTCTAATCAGACTCATCTCTAGGGTAATTTCCCTTATCCAGACCACTTCTTGTTGTGTTCTGTTGGTTGCTCTGTATTGGCCACCTCAAACATGGTTCCCTCTGTTCTGGCCCTTA